TATATATATATATATATATATATATATAAATAAAATTTAATAATTTAATAAAAATAAAAAAATAATTTAGAAATAAAATAAAAAAAATTTAATGAATGTAATAATATATAAATATATTAATAAAATTAATAAATAAAAAAATAATTTAATGAATGTAAGAATTTATATTATCTATCAATTAATATATTAATTATTGTTTCCTAATAATACATTCATTCGTTTAATCAATGATTTATTATTTATAATGATAACATCTGTTTAACGATACGATAAGTATATTCACACAATTAATTTTTTCGAGATTCCTTCCTTTCGACCCTGGGAAGAAGGATGCGTATAAAACATCTTTAGTGATTGCCTCCCAGAAGCTGATCGGAAAAGAAATATTTTATAAAGCACGCCTGCACATATCATCAATACGTGATTGGTTTGTGAACTGCTTGTTAATGAATTTTGTAAGCACTTCATGTTCCATTACACCTATATAAACTATTTCTACCCATTAGTGAGGTTTAGTTGATCGATTACTTTAATCGCATGTGCAGAGTTGTTTTTATTTCGCGTTACAAACAATTATGATATTTCTATGGTGCTCCTAAAGGTAAATCAAATTTGTTCCGAAATCAAACTTAATGAAATTAATAATTATAATTAAATGAGTTAAAAATAAAAGATAATTTATAATTAATAATAATATAATACATTTATAAAACATAAAAATATATATTTTTTATATTAATACAAATTATTTATTGTAATTATATCTATTTATTATATAAATAAATTTTTAATAGTTATAATATATAATTTTTTATAGTATCCTTAAAATATCGAAAAATAAGAATTGTTTTGATTTAGATCCACATGTATTTTTTCGATATTATTGAAATGTTACACATTTCATAAAATATTTTCGTTTTTTCAATAATACAAGATAATCGAAAAATACGAAGAATTGACGTGTTCATAATTGGTAGCTTTACACTCTTAACAAGTGCCATATACATATGTAAATAGAATTGAAATATATTTGTTAGGGATGAAAAATTTACGTGACTTTCGATACAAGGTATGACGTATTCTAAATACATTATGGACTTTGAGCAAATCTTGAGTGATCCATACGAATCTGGTGGGAGTAGATGCTTAAATAGCCTGAATCTTTATGGGTATGCCAGAGTTCGATATTGCGATTCCAAACATATTTTATCAAAAGTATATTTTAGTGCATTGTTAATATAAGCAATTATTATATATTATACATTTAAGAAAAAATATGGTTGTTACAGCTCAACAAATAGTAAGTGATGAAAAATATTTTGTGATTAGATAAAATCACAAAGATTAAATATCATATAATATAAGTATATTTTTACATTTTATGTAAAATTAAATTATAAATTATATATAAAGAATGTTAAAAATATTGAATAAATGCAATTAAATTTTCTTTTGATATAATATTTAGATATATTTTCAATTATTCCGTTATATTATTATTATTATTATTATTATTTTAAGTTATTTTTAATTTGTATTATTTTTTTTATTATTTTATTGATATATTATTATTCAAATGGCATGTATCCTTAACCAATAGCACATCAATGAATCATTTAATAAATCTAATTTGAATAGTGAATGAATAGTTTTTATAAAATCCTATATATATTTCTATTAATCCTATATATATCTACATTAAACAATTTTAAAATAATATAATATACAAATTTTTTATTAAAACATGTATTAAAAATTTGCATTAAAAATGTATTAAAAATGTATTAAAAACGAAAAATTATATTTAAAAATTTATAATTTAAAAAATGAATTATTATAAATTCATAATAATTAATTCATAATTCATAATCAAGTCAAAGTTAAATTTATTGTATAAATGTTATATATTTATTAACACTAATCAAATAGATTGTTTAATAAAATTAGTTTACGAATAAGAAAAAACATATGTAAACATGTACATTGTATATACAACAATTAAGACAATGATACTTGCTAACAAGATTCATTTTTTATTCACAAGTCAAACAAATAGCATAATTAAATACAATATGAGAAAGATAACTGCAATATTTCGAAAATTATAATATTTTTTTTTTGAAAAATGAGAATAATAATTTTAACATAATTACATATATATATACATTTATATTAATAATTATATTAATTTTTACATAATTTTATATATATATTTATATAATATGTATATATAAATAACATTTAAATAAATTTTTTTTAAATTACTTTTTCTAGATTATTTAATTTAAAATTTATATATTTTATTATATATTTCAATTTTAAATTTAATTTATATAAATCAAGTAAACTATATAATACTATATAATAATTAATAATGTAATTTATCACTTTCTATTCTTCATTAGTGGGAGCATACACCGGGCGAGGCGTGGGTATATCTCGTCATTTTGACCAGTATTTACATTCTATATATTCTGAGGACTTACATCAGAAGTGTCATACACATTTCTCGACTAAATGGCCCGAAAACTATACCAATTATTGGAAATGCAAACAGTATTCTTAAAGAAAATTGTAAGCATTTGATATTGAAAAGAGTAAAATAAATTTTTCAAAATTAATATTTTAATACATAAGAAATTTAGAAGAGATAAATAAATGTAAATATAATCATATTTAAAAATTGTGTAATTTTCAGTTCTTTATAGATTAGCATATGAAAGTCAAATGTATGGACGTATTGTCAGGATATGGTTAACAATATTTCCATATGTAATGTTTCTGGAACCAGAAGATATCAAATTGATTCTCAACAATGCAAAGCATACGCGGAAAGTATTTTTTTACAAATTGTTAGATAATTTTCTTGGAAAAGGCTTGATTACAAGAGATATTAAAAGTTGGCGAATTCATCGAAGATTATTACAGCCCGCTTTTCATCTTCATGTTCTTCAAAAATTTACAAACACTTTCGCAAAACATGCAGATCATTTAATGAACAAAATTCTTGAAAAGAACAATCAAGAAATTAATATTACTACCTTCATCAATGATTCTGTTTACAATATCTTGAGTGGTAAGTAAAAATATCTTTATAATCCATTATAATCTA